GGACAGGGACGGGCTCAGCTCCTGCTCCCTCTGCTCTCCTCCCCTCGGTGACATTCCCGGCGGTGGCTCCGCCGCGCGTTAGCGCATCCATCTCTCCCCAGCCTTCACCTCCCAGAAATATTGCAGCGCCGAGCCGGCTCCATCTGGCACGGCCCCCGCCTCCCCCCGCACCGCGCCGGGGACGCGCCGCAGCCGGAGCCGCCGCCCGGGCCCCGCACAGGCCGGCCCGAGGGGGCACAGCGACCCTGCCAGCCCCGTCCCACACCGGGGAGGGACAGCCAGGCCTCGCCACGCGCAGACCCCGCGCTGGGGGTGCGGCAGCCGGCGGAGCCCCCGCAAACTCGCCCCACGCGGAGCCCCTGGAGCCGCCGCGGGCCCAGCTGGCTCCCAGCCGGGTCCCGGCACCACCCAGCGAGCACCCGGTTCTCACCCCCAGCTCTGCCAGGCCCGACCCGCTGCCGTGCCCTGGCCGTGCCCCTCAGGATGGCACCTGTCCCCTGGCCGCCACCTCCGTGATGGAGCTGTTGCTGCCCCAGGCAGGGTCCTCGTGTGCATCCACGGCCTTCCTGCTGGAGGGAGGGAAGGGACATGGAAGATGGATTTTTGAGGAGGAAAGAGCTTTGTGTCCTTTCCTGCTGGGCACTGAGACCCCCAGGGGACCTGGCTGGGATGGCCAGAGGTGGAGGTGGCAGTGCTGGGGCAGCTGGTCCTGGCACACGAGGATCAGCAATGGGATGGGCAGCAGAGCCCCGAGGTCACTGGGCCCATCTCCGCTTTTCCCTGCACCCAAAAAGGCATCACCCAGCCCTGCCCCTGTTCCCACCCAGTTCCCTGAGCTGTGCCCGGTCCTGGGTTCACCTTGACCTCACCTGCCCCTGCTCTACATAGCAGCCCCAATTCCCACGGGATGGATCCTGCTCATCCAGCCCCTGTGCCGTGACACCGGGACCCCACTCACTCCCTGGATCAAACCCCCACTCCAAAGTCGCCCACCCCGAGCAGGGCCGCCCCTGCCCCCTCTGCCCTGTGCCATGGCTGGCTGTGGTGGAGGGGACAGCAGGGGGACAGCACTGGGATCCCTCTCCTGCCCTCACCATGGGCCGTGTCCTGGCACAGTCCGGCCGAGGGCCCACGGCTCCACGAGGCAGCGGTTTGGGTTTTCATCTCCCCACTCCCTTTTCATCTCCTCTCCCCGTTTCATGTCTCCACTTTCTTCTCCCTCCCAGTGCTGCGCATGCTGATGAGCCTCACGCCGGCGCCCACCCCGGCTGCTAATTAGGCTGGAACGGATGCACCGGGCCGGGGGTTTGTGAATGTCCCTGTCCCTGTCCCTGTCCCTGTCCCTGTCCCCGCGCAGGCCAGCCCGGCCACTCACCCTGTGGCATCTCCTCGGCCTCAGGCAGCCCTGGTGCCCCCACAGATCCCCCACGTGCTGGGAGCCCAGTGCCAGGGGCCAGGACACCGCCGGCCTCGCTGCCCCGACGCCCGGGCTGTGGCCTGGAGACCGAGGGACTTACCCGGCGCTGGCACTGGTGTGGCACGGGCAGCAGGAGAGGGTGGGCTCCCGGAGCGCGGCGATGCCCGCCAGGCACCCGCTGGCAAAATGGAGATGGCAGCGACAGAGGGAGCTGAACGGTGCTGCCGGGAGGATGCCCGGGAATCGGTGCCCGGCACGGCACCGGCACCGGCAGGGCTGGGGTGGGCCCTGCCTTCCCCGCGGGCCGGCCCCAGCCCAGGTGCCATCTGCTCGGCCGCAGCCCTGAGTGACAGTTGGGGGGGGATGCTCACCGGCAGTGGAGGCCCCTCTGTCACGTGCCAGCCCCGGCACCTGCACCGGGGGAGTGGGCACCGCCGGCGCCGCTGGCACGGCCCCGGCGGCCGGGCACGACCATCCCTTTGTCTGCGTGCGGGCACAGACGTGGCCACCGCTGTCACCGTGTCCCTGCCGTGCCCACGCCGTGGGTGGCACGTGCCGGGGTGTGGCACCCCATCCCCGGCCTGCACCCCTCGAGCCAGGCAGGTCCCAGCTCCTCGGGCTCATGGGGACAGCGGGATCCAGGACACGGCACTGGCCTCGATGGGCACAGCCAGGAGCGGGGCTCCGGCTGGTGGGATGTGGCTCCTGGGGACACCGTGTGCTCCTTTGGGCTCCCTGACCCCACGGGGAGGGCAGCAGCGGTTTCTGGGGGCACAGACACCATGGTGGGGACAGATCTGGAGGCCGGAGGGTGACAGAGCAGGCACCAGTGAGGAGTCGCCCGGCAGACAAAGGCCTGGCTGGCTGTGCCGCGGCACCACTGGGCCTCAGCCACCAGCACCGTAGCACCAGCACCCACAGGGGGCTCAGAGCCCGTGTGTGCTGGGGAGGACACGTGTGTGCAGGCGTGTGTGTGTGTGTGTGTGTGTGCACGGCCGCGTGCCCAGGGCTGTGTGGGGCTGTACCGTGGGCACGGAGGGAGGTTGGCGTGGCCCTGTGGCCACAGGGGTGCCAGAGGGGCCATGTGCCACCCGTGAGGGGACACGCGGCCCCACGGCCACCGACCCTGCCCACACCACACCCGCAGCCCCGTGCCCACCCCTCTACGGCCACACCGGGCACCGCCACCACCACCGCGGTGCCCGGCCACAGCCCCCAGCCCGCGCCAGGCCCTCTCCGGCACCGCCATCACCGCCCGGCTGCCGGCTGAGGGTGGGGACGGAGCCGGCGGAGCCGCCGCGGCATTTTGCGGTGAGCCGCAGATGCCAGCTCCCAGCGAGGGTCCCCGTGGCATCGCCCCCCTCGCCCCAGCGCCCGCCGGGGTCCCCGCCGCACTCGGCCCAGCCGGGATGGCCGGTTTTCCCGCCGGCTCCATTGTTCCTGCCGGCCCCGCCATCGCCTGCCTCTCGCCCGGGTCCCATTTTGTGCCGTGCAGGCAGAGCTGGAGATTTGGAAGAGGGTTTTTTTTTTT